GAAAAATTATGAAACTGTGTCAGTGAAAACGGTGACCTTACTTATTTGAAAATGCAGGTTACTTAGATAATTAAGAAGGTCTAGGTCACATGTCATTTGGGCTCTTTTGTAATCTCTGATGGAAGCTCTGCAGGTTGATATGGGGAGTTTTTCTTTTAACTCCTTGGAAATTCTTTTTCTTATGGATAAATGGACAAGACATATAACAAGATTCAATTAAAGATAGAGATTTCAGGGTAAGAATAAATTAATCATGTTAGTTTGACCGGGTGGGTAGCTAAATATTTTGTAAATTTACATTATCTTAAAATGTGATAAGTATAAAAAATGACAAGCAATTTCCCCCTATGCAAATGCTTGGATATGTGCTTTAAAGAAAATTAAAAACAGGCACCCTATATTCATAGTTCCTTTAGAACAAAATGATTTTTTTTTAAGTATAATTTTTTAATAATCAAAATTAATCATTTTTGCATTCTTCCAATTGCAAGAAGTTTACAGTGACTGCCTTAATAGGATTGATTTAAAAATGGGTTGGATATCAGTGATAGGACACTCACACACACAAACACACATAGTCCATTCCCACTCATCAACACGTTTCTTGCTTTCAATACATGGAGAGCTTTTCACTCATGGGAAGGCATGGATTGTATCAGTAGTTCCTGTTCTTCTGGACTCCATCTCAAGTGTGCAAGACATAGCCATTTTTGTTCTGCTAATTCTTTGTAAAGGAGAATCCCAAACATACATATGTGTGGTTGCAGCATTCCTGTCCTAGATCCGGGACCTATCGATGAGGAATGCTTTAATTTAGGTTCTTGTACTAAACAAGAGCTTGGATTCTCTGGCATAAATAGTCCCTTCCAACTCAGGAATACATTTAAAAATGTGGACTAATAATCCACAATAAGGTAAGCATTGATTGGACTATGCAAAATGATATCTGAAACCCTACATCTGGTATGCCCAAGGACTTGATCTTGATCAGAAGGCAACTGAACATTTTGAATAGCAGTTTCATAATCACAAATCCTTCTGAAAGGAACTTTGGGTTCAAAGATATTTGCTGTGCAGCATGCAAGAGTCTATCCTCTGGAACACAAGAAGAGATCTTCCTTGGGTACATGGTGCTAGTTGCACAGCTCTTTGGAAACTGGCCTTAATCAATAAGCAGAGGCTTCAATTATGAAACAGCTAATTTTGGAGGAGTTTCAAGATCAATGGAATAATTCTGGATTAAATATTTTAGTAGTTTTGCTGTATCATTCTGAGTTGTGTAATTCTGAATTTACTTTTATCTATAATTGTTGGGATTTATTTCCACATGCACAGACACACACACAGAAAATTAAAATAGAAGCCTTGGATATGATTGTAAAGTGAGGAGTAAAAAAAATCTGTTTCTAACACTCTATGTTGGCTCAATGAAAGATCAAGTAAACAGAAGATAGAGAGCTACATAAATTGCTTTATGTTTAAAGGATGTTTGGGCTTTAAGAGTATCTCTACATTTCTCAAGGACTTAAGTAAACTATAACTTGTGGGATCTTAGCTGTTATCCTATTGCCAAAGTCTGAAGGAAACCAAGCATTCTTTTAAAGGGAGTTCACATTGGTTTGGAACCTTTTTATTCCTTTTATTCCTTATTTTTGCTTATCACACAATATATACTTTAGTAAATTCAGAGTACTTAAAATTTCTCATATATTTACTCTATTTTCTGCCAGGAAGATGTTGATCTTTTATAGCAGTGTTCGCCAAACCCTAGTCTGTGGATCCCTATGGCTCAAGATTTATTTATTTATTTATCATATTTATATAGCCGTCCATCTCACACAAAGTACAAAGATTGTACTGCTAATAATGATGACAAGCCACTGAGTAATCAATCACAGTGTGATTTTCCACTGGTTTCCGTATGGGAAAGGGCGTTGAACATGCATTGTAGCAATTATGATTTTTTAATACCTGCACCAAATAAAAAAAAATGGAGAGAAGTGGCCAAAAATATTGGCTTCAACCACTGAAAATAAAAAGAGTAAAAGCATACTGTAAAAATGGAAGAAAAAGTAATGTTTTATAGATAAATGATCAAGGGTGCAACTCTATGGCCCTTGGATTAGGGTTAGGGTTTAGTTTCTATGAGTAAAGCAAGTATTTTGGGAAGATCGTCCTTTGATCAGCAACTAGAAACTCTGACAAGATGACTGCACTCAGAAGCATTCTAAAGATGTATCACCAATGCACCTAAGGAAGTCCAAGAAATGGCTGTTTCAATCAGGAAAGGAAAGAAAGGAGTAATCAAAACTATGTTGATGATGCAGCTAGGGACGACAAAGAAGTTCTCTATACATTTCACTTAGATGGAGGTGATGTGATCTGCCAGAAGAAAGTCTGCCATAGCATGGGTGGGTGTTGGTGAGTACAGTCCACAAGCATCCAACGTTTTTGGCTCCAACATTTGCACAAGAATATCTGTGTTTGGGAAAAATGCATGTAGAGAAGCATACATTAGAGAAAGTTGTGTTTGAAACTCTATGTTAGGGGAACATTCACTAGATTCAAGGACCCATCATTCCCCAGAAATGCCCCAAGAATGAAGAAAACCCTTTAAAAAACAAGACAAGCCAACTGATGGAAAATATTCTCCCCACAGAGATTTTTTTTTGCTATGTCCAGTAGAAGTAGTACAAGTCGAGCAAAATTTAGAAAGTGTCATTTTGTTCATTACGGTCTGAAGTAAATTACTGAAATTGAAATTAACCCTGGACTATTGTGGCCTAGCTTATTTATAATACTTAATATCATTTTTTCAAACTTTATTTGTTAAGGACATTCTCATTCAAGAGTGAATTGTGCTATGTGATTTCATAACCGTGGAGTCCTTGGTGCTCTCTGAGCTTGGTTGTTTACTTGCAGACCTTTTATTACCCAACTAGGGAACATCATCAGTGCATCGGTTGGATAATGAAATGTCTGAGGCAAGCAACTAAGCACAGAGAGCACCAAGGACTCCACAGTTCACCCCGAGATATAGATATTCTTTTCTATTTCATAACAATTGAACTAAAAAAGTTTTCAATTAATGTAATTATTCAGAGTATAAGCATCTAGCACACACTCTGTCACACAAAGCTTTATTTTACTTATTTATTTATTTATTAAATTTCTCACCTGCCCATCTCCCCCCGATGGGGGAACTCTGGGCGACTCACAACAAACATTAAAAATATAAATATATATAAATACATAAAACATCAGTTAAAAGCA